AATTTCTTGAATGTTACTGCTAAATACTGTACCTGAAAAATGAAGCACTGTTTGTTTTATTTGTATATTATGTGTATTTGTAATATATATAGTTGTTCTTATTTTCTAATAACAAAGATAAAATAATGACAAAGATTTTTTTCTTTGCTCACTTTGGCCTAAATGTCTGCCATTCTTTTTTATTTTATATTTTGTTAAGGTGTAAGAGGTGTTATGTTTCTGCACTCTTCCATTTTTAGCAAATTAAGAAAACTTTGTCTAAAAACAATTTTTGTGATGGTTTGTATTTTTTGTGCTCCGTATGGAACATCAGTGCCTGTTTAAGTGATGAACTCCATTACTTGTGTTTGTTTTCAGACACGATAACAGACGTTTTATACTTGTGCTACAACTTTTTTGGCCTGTGCTACAAAACTTTCAACCTCTAGCACCAGTGCTATGTGAAAAAAAGTTAACGTCTGTCTGTATTGGTTAGATTTATAACGTCTGTCTATCCTTTTCTTTCCTCTCCCTCTCTGCTCGCCCTCCCTGTACAGCGCAATGTTGTCTTCTCTCTGATTTCCCCCTCCTCCATCTGATCTCTCTCTTGTATTATGTTTTAATATCTCTTACTCATATTCGAGGTACGCATGCGCACATGTATGCATTAGCTTTTCTTGGTTCAAATGTTCAAACGAGGACACAAAAGCTAGGACTCCAAGGTAATGGGGTTCGTGCTGAACTATGGAGATAGTTCAGCATCCTTCGCCAAGTTTATTCCTAATATGTACATGTGGCCATTTTATATAACACATATTCTTGGCCAACATCCTATATGTATGTCATCTATATCCTCATTGGTTAAAGGGTTGAAACTCCCCTCAACATATGCCTATATAATATCTTTGTATCTATGAATAAAGTTGAAGTATTGAGAATACAATTTGATGTGTGTTTTCTTGCTTCCCGGCCGTTATACACTTTAAGGGACTGAGAATTTTCCAGGTGGCAAAGAGAAACTATAGGGACCGGTTGTTAATTACTGACAGAAATATTTTAGTATAGAAAAAAAAACTCTTGCAATCATTGTGTTTTATTTCCACAGCAAAACACTGTTCTCTCAAGAGTAAATCTGCTTTTTATCCCAAATTCTTTGGTAACATCAGCCAGGCCTGTGCTAGGTGACCTAAAAAGCAACTTGGATAACATGCTTTATACCAAGTATTGTTCATATTTATTTTTATATAATGCCTACAAATATTTTCACAATATCAGTTTCTTATACTCTTTCAAGAAAAGTAATTTTGCATTCACAAGAGACATGTGCCTATCAGAAAACTCGCCTGTGGTTCTGACCAGCACCAATTTTTTTAGATGACTGCTGAAAGGTCCTGTAAATCTGTTGTTCGAAATTGTGCTCCAACTCCTGCCAGTGCTGTTCCTCAAGAACCTGCTGCTTGTATCATTTAATGGAGAAAAATAACAATAATAAACATTTGTAGTGTTATTGTGGCAAAATTTGTGACATCTGGACCGTGTTCTAGTCACTTCTCACCTTTTTGTTGAGGGTGGTCTTCACTCTGAGTGGAAGCACCTGCTCATTTTTCTTCATACTGTTTTTTTCTGTCTTTCTTTTCTGTCTTTCCTGTTGTTTCTGCTCGAGGGTCTTCTGTAGGGCCAGCACTCTCTCATCTCTACTGACAGCCTCCCGCAGTTCACTTCTCATTCTTTTCTCTTCTTGACTGTGAAACAAAACAAATCAGTCAGCCCTTCCTTTCCACATATTTAACTCGACCACAAGTGAAAATACTTTTGCATTTTTCTAATTTAACTCAATTTTTTTCATTGTTTAGCGACATAATAATAGGTGACAAGTTAGATTGAAGAATTAACATGAAGTTCAGAATTTCGTTGTATTTGCATTGTCCCCATGACAGGACGACTCAAGCTGGCACAAACTCTGTATGTTCATGCAAAATCAGATCTTTAAAAGGGGCAAAGGACCCAATACAGAGCTTTGTAGCATACCATACTTTACCACTGTAAGATCACATGTCTATCTCTTTACCCAAAGTAATAGTGATTTAAGAGGGAGGATTTGAGCCAGGCCAGTGCCTGTCCGTATATGCAATCACTTGTCTTGAGTCTTTTCCCCCAGGTTTAAATAGAAAAAACTAACATTTTCAATGTCCACATTTTTCTTTTGAACCAACTTAATGTTGATGCAGGAACAGGTGTGATGGGACTGATATGTTACCTGCGCAAAGCAGCCTGTTCTGCCTGACTTCTTTGTAGAGCGATATTATCCAGCTGTTCTAGCAGTAGCTGCTCTTTGAGCTGTTTCTCCTGAAAGATGCGCTGTCTCTTGTCCTCCAGCTCACACTGCTCTGACTCACTCAGGACTGCCAAACGCTCCCGCAGCTCCGCCAAAGACATCTCACACAGCAAATCATGACCCGCAGTCTAAATTTTTAAAGATCATGAAACATAAATTGTGTCCATTGTGTCGAAACCACTGACTTGTAGTGCATATAATTAATTTATTTATAAATATAAGAAGATAATTAACTAACCTCAGTGTCATCCACAAACTTTTGTCTGACGAGAGGTACTGACTCAAAAGCACGAATCTGACAGATAAGCTCCATCTTCCTGCTTAGCTCGGCCTGGGCTTCCTCCAGAGCCTGGCTGAGGAGTTCCCTGCTCTGCTCTGAGACCTCCTTAACTGCTCCAAAGAAATACAGTGTTTTTACTGTCATTTAATATTTTGTTAAAATGTTATGCTATATGAATCACACTTTTTGTACCTATCCGTTGTTTAATTTCTTGCAGCTTAGCTTTGGCCGTTTTGGAGTTCTTGTGACCATCGGCCACTTGTTGCACCAGCTCTCTCATTTCCTTCTCCTCCTTCAGACGTTTTTCTGCATACTTGCGCATAAGCTCTGTAGTCTGAACCAATCACACATTACATCATCATCAAACTTAATACAGACTGAGTCATGTATTGCTGTAAACACTGATGTTTGTTATGACATCACCTCCTCTTTAGTCTGCTGAGCTTTATGGTGGTTACGCTCCAAGACACGTTCTCGTGCAAGAACTGC